GAATGATACAAATAACACAGCTTAGAACAAGAAAATTCACATATAAAATTATTATAAAACGAATTTGATTATGGTGCGTAAACTATGCAAATTGTGTAATTCTTATAAGATTCAGTTTAGCTGATTTCGTTGAATTGAAATTACATCTCTTGGAAAGTTGAAAAAATATGAATTGGACCATCTGTTGGTAAAAAGGAAAGAAAAAATAATACTTCTTAAGACAAAAAAAAAATAATAAGAATTTATTACAGATTGCTGAAATTGGAATATGATTATAAAACTTATAGAAGTTACATGTAAATTTAATGCAATTAAAGTATATAGAAAATCTATGTTAATTTATTAATTTTCTTGGTTTTCTCAAATAAAAATGTGGGTTTGAACATGTCTAATTTTTACTTAAATTTTAAGGAAATAAAATTATATTTAAATTATAATATGGATGTTCCTAATTCTTAGCTGAATTTCATGGAATTAAATATTCTTAACGAAATTTCTTCTGTTAAAAAATCATAAATTTTATCGAATAAAAAAATGGGTTCGAACATTTCTAATTTTTATTTAAATTTAATAAAATTACAGATTTTCAAAATTAAATTGAAAAAACATATAAATTATAATATTCCTAATTCCTAGCTGAAATTCATTCTCACTTGCAAGTTAAAAACTTAAAAAAAATGAAGATTTCTAATTTTTACTCAAATTATAATGAAATTATAGGTTTTCAAAATGAGATTGGACCATCTGTTGGTAGAAGTAAAGAAAGAATGGAAGGAATGAAGGGAAAACGCTACAAATGATATAGGTCTTAGGTGTTCGTATGTGGTGGGGAAAAACACACACACAATCGAATCGGTCGCGGATTTTTCCTTGCAGAGCAACCTGCAGGATTCACATGTATGTCCTTAAGCACGCCTCAACTATTTCACGCTAGATGTCTGGCGTCGGGTGTGGGTGGAGAAGGAAGGAAAAAAGCGGTCTAAGGAGCGACACACGCGTCGCCGTTAGTTCGAAGCGTCGCCGTCCAGAGGCGACACCTGCCCATGCACCTAGCAAACCTATCCTTGCAGCACGTGTGTGGGCGGCGGATTCGAATAAAAACAACGAAGAATCATTGAAACAAAACAACAACAACAAAAAAAACTAAAGCATAAAACGGTCGAAGGAGAAAGAAAGAAACAAGAACGACGACGATGAGGAGTAGGAGGTAAAAAGGACTGCTGGGGTCTCTGGAATTATTTGCATGGTATCGGAACGCCTTCATCTTTATGTACTTTGAATTCGCGCAAAATAGAAATAAAATTGTTCGCAGACGGAATAACGCTATCGGAATTCAAAATCCAGCGTCGTACATCTCCGTACGACCGGATGGAAAATGTTAAGAATCCTGTATTCCGTAAATAATAGCATTGTGGACTCGTGTATGCGAGCCGAAGCCATAACTAAGCCTCTCCGCTCCTGCCCGTGCAAAAATATTTATATCCTAACTTTTACTAGATGAGTTACATTAGATGCTGTTCACTCACTAGCCACGTTGATGTTTGATAATAAATGCATCAACAACAACAAAAAACACACAAATTCTTTTCACTTATCTCAAAGATTTTATACCTAATTTTACATACTTTTCCAATTATATTGTAACAATACCAATTTTATGATTTCATTTTGCAAAATATAATTGGATTAACTATGAAAGTTTACAAATTTTGTTACTTTTTTCCAAATGAAAATCCAATAATTCAATGAAATTTTTCAATTAATTAATGATACAATATTAGTAATTAGAATTAGAATTAAACTTTATAAATTAATCAATAGAATAATTAAAACAATTAGTGTATTAATATCATATAGTTGTAATTAAATTAATTAAACTTTTGTACAAATATTAACTTTATGCCTATTAATAAAACGTAATAGAAACTAAAAAATGTACACAAAACATTGATTTATGAATGTCGTAAAGTTGCATGAATTTTAATTATGCGAAATCGTCGAAGTGCAATTTGCGAACTGCAAATGATGACTATAAATTAGACTTCGATAATGATACGACACGGCAAAAGCAACGAAAAAAAAATCGCACCCGATTGGATGCGAACGCTTCGCGTGATCCCGCAGATAGGAAGGACTAATCACTATTTACGTAATATTAATTATCATTTAATTTGCGTAATTGCGGCCTCCTACAGTATGTGCGTTACGTGCTCGAAACAATTAACTCTTCCTTTGTTTCGTTACGTTTTTGTTTCTATTTCTGTTGTTGTCATCAATTCGCTGCATTGTGATGTTTGTTGCTGTTATTCTTATTTGTCGGATGCCTGCGCATATTGGCTTAGGTAAACCGCACCGCGGATTTCGCTCTTGCATATTTGCAAAACTAATTATTCTTAAGCTTTCTACCTTTCTGTGAGGTAATCCCAGCTATTTTCACGAACGCATTATTATGCAACACTTCGATTTGTTGTAACACATTCAAACACACAAAAAATGGCAATAATTTATATCTTTCTGCAGCTTTCCATCAAGTCCGATGCAATTATGTAATTGTTTATTCATTTGTTTCCTACAACAATGACAGATACTACACAAATATTCATAGCTTTCTTATAAATCTTTGTTTTTGAATAATTATTTTTCAATGAAATAAATAAAAATTAATCATATTATAATTACTTTATTAGTGTTTTGTAAGTATTACAAGTTACAAGTAAAAAAAACTGATCAATATTCGGAATGAAATAAATAATGTATTTCTTTTTATTAGAAAATAATTATGATTTATTAATTAATATTAATATTTATAGCTTGTTGCAATGATTTATGTGACTTTTTTTAATATGACATTATTAATATTTATTATATACGAGTACTTCAGTATTTAATTATCATAATTTATATGAAAATAATGAAAGTTTATTAATTTTGTTTAACGTAATTAAATGATAATATTTTCACTAAAAGTACGTACCTTTAACATAACAAACTTTGAAGAAAAACAAAATTGTTATAATTTCTATGAAAAAAGATTTTATGTATTAAATTTTAACTATTAGTAATTTTTTGTTTGTTTGTTGGACAGAAAATGAAAGGATTTTATAAAACGACAATAAACAAATTAATGAGAATAATTTAAATTTAGCTTCTGAAAATCGATATAATTTGTATAATTTTAAAATTTTATTAGATATTATTAATCAATTCCATTGATATTAATAAAATAGTGTACTTTCTACTGAAATATAATGAAAATAACATAAATAAGTTTCGTGTATGAAAATTGATTAAAAAGACGGCAACAAACGATTTTAAAGTACTTTTATATCTGAAAATTAGTATAATTCGTGTGAAATTATGATTTTTAATTGAAATGTGTTTTAATGACTTTAAAATGATGTTTAATTAAATATTTCAGTGTGATTTTAAGTACTGAAAATTGGTATAATTCGCGTTTTAAAAAAATAAGCATAATTTGAACATATTTTTACTGCTGTAAATTGATATAATTTGTATGAAAATTGTGTAAGAATTTAATTAATTTTAATTTAAATTAAATAATTCAGCGTGAACTTTAATGTGTTTTTGGTGCTGAAAATTGGTATAATTCGCGTTTATAAAAATTAAGCGCATTTTGAACAAGTTTTCATTACTGTAAATTGATATAATTCGTATGAAAATTGTGTAAGATTTCAATTATTTCGGAAGTTAAGTTTAATCTAAAAATTTCAAGCGTTATTTTGATGTGTTTTTCAGTTTTTAAAGAATTACACTGATATTAGTAAAATAATTTTAATTGGAATCAAAACAGGAAAGTTTTTGTCACATAAAAAAGGATTGTAACAGAAAATAATTTAGTTTTACTCAAAATTGCGTTAAATCTAAATTTCAAGTGTGATTTTTTATGTCCTTTTCAGTTGGTAAAATAAATTTAATCGAATAAAAAAAATTACTACTAAATGAAAACAGAAAGTAATGAAATTTTAGTTAGATATAATTTTCAGTGTGATTTTAAAGAATGACTGAAAAATAAGAATAATTCGTACGAAAAAAGTGATATTAATGTGAAAATTAGAATAATTTCAAGCGTGATTTTAATGTGTTT